TTAAAAATGAAATTACAGAAAAATATTTATTGACATGGAGAAATGTTTACAATAAACAGTGTTAAATGAAAAATATTAAATATGCCATATGATCCTACTTTTGTAAAAATGTACATATGTGATTATATACATGCATAGAAAATGTGAGCGTTTAAATACCCAAATGTCAACTGTGGTTATCTCTGAGTGGTGTGATTACAGGAGAGTTTTATTTTGTTCTCTTTGCTTCTGCATTTATTATATCGAGCATGTTTTTATGCATAATAAGATAATCAGTAAAAGGTATTAAAATATACTTCTGTTCTATTTCACGTTGTGAAAGTTAAATGTCGTACCATTTTCCCCCTTAGATTGTAATTATTCATCTATATTCATCCAACTGTCTTGATCCACAAATTGGTTTTGTTGGAAATAGCTCAAGATTCTCACTCAGGTCAAAAAAGACAAAGCTATAAAGAACTGTGTTTAGTTCATACCCCTCTCTTTTCCCAGAAAATATAATTTCAATTTGCTAACAGATGGGATGAAGATAAATGGAAGGTAGATTTCAAGTTGACTTTATTCTTCTACTATAACTTATCTTGTTATTCTGCCCAAGATTTTAGTGTAATTTTACTCCAAATATTTTATTACTGTCATGAAATTCCTGAGACTAACTACTAAAAGTAATCAATAATAAAAAAAGATTAAATAATGATAATACCACTCCCAGATATTCTGGTTCGTCTCCATAGCGATAGAGCTTATGGCTTTCCATAAGAAGTCACTGCTAACAAGAAAAGAGAAAAAAACAAAAATTGTTTCTTATAACATCTTGAACTAACTTAGTGAGTTACTTTCAATGTGTAGAATCAAATTCATCCCTCCCCAGAATTTGGGGAGCTCACTCTTTTTACTCCAAAGGAAGATCTTTCTCTAGCCTCATCAAATCCATAGCAGTAAGTAGTTACTTGAATCCTGAGTACATTATTTTTGATGTCCTTCAAACATATTTTACCTAAGAATACAAAATGCTGGCAAATAACTCCCTCTTTTTCATTTCCTCGCCTTATGCTTAAAACATCAGAAATCTAAACTCTTTATTTCAGATCAGTTGTTTTTGAGGGGCAGAAAACATTTGGATTTTTGAGAGGCGAAACAGAAAAAACTTATTAGGTAATGGAACCACACAAGAATATCAGAAGTATTTTAAAAGTTGTTTGTCTTCATTGGTTAGTAGTTGGTTAGTCAGTAAAGGAATAAAGTGATGAAAAGCAGTTAGAACTTCTAATAATATCTTTATTTTTGTTATTTTCCTTTTTTACTTCTCATTCAACAAAAAATGAGAAATTTAAACTAGCATACAGCAGCAGTTGAAAATTAAACATTAGCATTTTTTTGTGGTTTGGAAAATGTTTAGTAATACTTTTAGGTTACATGGAGACTAAACTTTTAAGTTTTTGCTGTGAAAGGAGCAGTATCATTTCTTTCAGGAAATTCTGATGGGTAACTTGATGATTTGACATTGGAGATAATGGGACAAGAAACACAGCCTGGTTTGACATGCCCGTTTTAACTTTTGTTGGTATTCACTAGGGTTTCTCACATAAGTACATGTGAATAACTTTTAAAATGTCCAATACTGGAAAAAGCAGCTTTGAGAGATTTAAAGTGTTAGCTCTCACTTAAATATACTAAAATATCCTCCGGAGATGGCTTGCTAATTCCTAGAGTAGTTCCCTGCCTCACACTGTGTCAATTTGAGGAAGAAAAAAATACCCATCCTGACAACACAGCTCACAAAATTCTCTCTTCACATCACTCTCCAATACCATCTTCTGCTTTGTGGGGCTGGATTCATTACCCCACTCCTGCTAAATGGCACTGGTCCTCTAAGCGATCTCCCTCTTCTCCAGCACTTCTCCTCCAATCTCATCCCGGCCCCTCACTCCTGCAGTCAGAGAGATCTTTTCTAGATCTTTTCTAAAAATCTTAAAACACTCGAATGGTCCTCTGACAGCCAGCATAATAATATTTCTCAAAACAATATCTGAGAACTTCTAAAAGAAATTTGTTTTATTTCTTTTTTATAATGACAAAAGATATTAACAAGCATACCTTGTTTCCTCAGAATGAATACCTTGTAACTGAGTGTAAGACTCTGACTCAAAAATACATATATATTCTTATTTGTGCTTGCATGTCATTGGTACCAAATTTTATTTTTTCTAATGAAGCATTTATTTCTTAAACCGGTCCCATAAGTAAGTTCTCAGAGGCAATTTCCTTTTGAACCAATCCAGATATTACTTACTTGTGTGAAACATTGGCTCACAGGACAGTATCCAAATACGCCATTGTGGATGGAAAGTTCTTTGTGATCTGCCCTGCCCATTCCTCCCACTGGATCTCCTTCATGTTGTCTCTCATTCCCTGCACTCCAGCCCCTGTGTGATAAACAGCCCCTGAATAAGCTGGGCCACATAGAGCCTTTTCTTAAGTTTGGTCTTTGCCAGTGATAATTCTCCACTCCATCTGTCTTAAACACGTACTCCTCTATATAATCAGACTTTCCTGAAGACCGCATCTCCAGGTATAGTGAAAAATTTCTATCTTGGTTGCAATTAATCTTCACACAGGGAATTATGTCACCAATAAACTACTCCCGAAATGTCATGGCTTAAACCAGTAACACTTATTATCACCCAGCTTCATTGGGTCTGGAGTTTGGGTGAGGCTTAGCTGGATCCAGTGGCTTCAAGCCTCTTAAAGGCTACAGTGCTTTCTAATAACTCACATGGTTGTTGGACTGAGGCCTTACAACCTGTTGACTGGGGAGGGGGGTGCACCCTTAGTTACTGGATTCAACACTATGACAGTTTGCTTCGCTGGAGCTAGCAAGACAGCACTTAGCAGTCTTTCATGACCTAATCACAGCAATGACATGTTGTCACTGTGACTGAATTCTGCTCAATAGAAGAAAAGTGCTAGGTCCAGCCCAACTCAAGGGACAGCTGCGATTACTGGAAACTGCCTAAGAAGTCTGTCCATCACAGTCTGTGGGATACTTTTGGGCAGGTCCAGGTAAGGAAGCTGTGGGCAGGAGAGGGGCTGCTTCTCCTCTCTGACTTGTGTCCCTGTCTCTCATGATGTGAGCATCTTGATGCCATGACTATGATTCCAAAGTTTAAAGAAAGGTATATTTTATATAATCTGCCTATCAAATACCATTTGAAAGTCAACTCCCTCATCTGATCTTCAACTGAAGAAAAAATGATCTATTTTAGTGCTATAAGAAGAACTTTGTGTTGGACTTACTAAGAAAAGGTGATATAGCTTACCGAGACAGCACATTCTTAACAGATTTGCAAATGTAATTTTGACTATATGCAATTCTGGATTTATGTCCTGATTTTAACTTTTAACGTGAAGTAAAATAAGAGCCTTCTGTATTTTCAAATGTGGCCCCTGTTAAACTCTGCTGCACTTAGTTTTCTTGCCTCTCTTTGATCTGGGAGCTACTTGACATCCTGTTTCATACCCCATTCACTACCAGTATCAGCATTTTGGCTGTCAATTTTCTTTTTAAAATATGTACTAATATTTTTCTGAGTTTTGAATTCATTTAATACTAATTTTGCTAAAAATTGTTTGGGTTTTAATAGTTGAGGATTTTACAGAATTTTCTCTAGTATACACGCTTAAAAAGAGTGACCTGGGCCTTTGATACCTGTAATTTTTGTGTTATTTTGCTAGTTAGTTAGGGCATTAGCAGTTTTTGCCTTTGAATTAAAGTTCTCTACTTTTCTCTCCATGGTTTCTAAATATTTTGTCCTTTTGAGTCAAGGGAATTGCCCTGATTTTATGATGACATTTGGGTACGATATTTAAACTGTTAAAAGTTATAAAAACGACCCTTTGGTATTAAATGTAATAAATGGCTCTGAATTGAATACATGCACAGGTTCTCCTATGTGAACTTTGTGAGCCTAAACTGCTCCGGTTACATATTCTTATTGTAATTGGATTCTATGACATTCTCTCATTTCCCAAGAGTATGCCAGGCCATGAAAATTCCTTATGGCTTGGTGTTGATGTATACTTAGGGTCTTTTGAGGTTTTGGCTTTCATCTCTCAACCAGTGTATGATACTTGTACTGGTGGTCATCTCCAGTCCTGAAGTGGCAGGGTGGTCTCTGCAACAAACCAAAACAAAGCTAGTTTAATCCCTAAGAGATCTGTAGCAATCCTCAAATAAAGGGGGCTGGGATGACTTTTAGAACCAAACTGTCTTTGCTCAGCCTCACCTTATCAAGAATTTTTTTTTTTTTAACCCATGAATACCCTGTACTGTGTTTATTTGTACTGGCTTGTATTTCTTTGTAATTCTAAAATATTGTCTTATCAGAAGGTTTTAAATTAGACTGTAAACTCCTTATAACAGAAATTTTTCTTCTTTCCTCCTCTGTTTTGATATCTTGGATATCTTTTCTTATTTTATATCCACCATGACACCACCTAGACATATTTCTCAGTAGAAGTCAGCACAGAGAAAAGAAAGAGGTCTGGTCTAGATTTATTGATGATGCATGCATTAGAGTGGATCAGAGATGAGGGACTGGGACCTGTCTGGACTCTTGTATTGAGGGATGTACTTGAGTTCCAGAAGGCTTCATAACAACACTCAGTTAACTCTACATGGGTAGAATTGGGTGCCAGGCTCTCCTTTGCCCCTTTAAATGCACCAGAGTAAGTTACTGCCATGAAATTGTAATGTAATATTTTCTAGTTGTGATTCATTCACAGTTTATTATGCTTCTAGTTCTGGTTTGACTTTTCCCCCAGGAAGAGCCTAAAATCTCTTCATTATAATATAGACAGTGTACTGCACTTTGAATACAAATTTATCCATGTTCAGAGTAATTTTTCTTGTGATTGTCTCTACCCTGGAGAAGTGCCTTTAATGAATTACATACAAATTGTGTAATTTAAGAAGTTAATTTGGCTTTCTGGTTACACAGGACTAAAAACAGCCCTTGTAGAAAGAGATGATTTCTCATCAGGGACCAGCAGCAGAAGCACTAAATTGATCCATGGTGGTGTGAGATATCTTCAGAAGGCCATCATGAAGTTGGATATTGAGCAGGTAATTGTGTATGCTGGTTGTTAAACAAAAATTGCGACTATGCTTTTTTCTACCCAATTAAGTCAGGTGTTTTTTTTTTTTTATGGCTTTTAACATTTCTTCCTGTTGGAAATACCTATTTAGTGTATTCTGCTGGAATATCTTTCAGGAGAGGTGTGTCAGTTCTTTCCTGTTGTATTATGTTTATGGGTAATCAGGGGCTTTTTCTACACAGGCATGTCAAAGTAGCAGATTTACAAAATCACTTTTGGATGTGTTGCCTTTTAACAATTGTGATTGGGTTTTTGCCAGTGGCCACCAAATTGCTACTTCGCAAGCAGTTTCAGGGGAGTGTTGTAATGTAGGGGGAGTGCCAAATTGATCCTCTTAACTGCAAGTGCAATCATAACTCATATTGTCACTGACATATTCTTAAGGAAAAGATGATCTGAGTCATGCTTTTCTTGTGTCACACGTTATTGTGTCCAGCCTGCCACCATTTGAAAACTGCCAAAGCAGTGCGGAAGATGACATTTCCCAGAGGGTAAAAAAAAAAAAGTCAGCTGAACTCCCTATCTGCTTTTCGTACATGAAAAACACAGCAGCACTGACTTGACATTGTCAAGTTTTGAATCTGTCCCCTTTTTTTCTTGACAAGTCAGTTTTGAATCTGTCCCCTTTTCTCATGTTTCTCTTCGGCATCATGATGGATGCAAAGAAAACAGTATAGGGTTTAGAATCAGCTAACCTGTGATATGTTCTGGCTTATTTACTCAACATCTATGAGCCTCAGTTTTCTTATTAGTAAAATTAGTATAATAATAGCAATGCTGGCTCTTTAGGCAGGCATAATGAAGGCCACAGCAGTTAAGACAAAAGCCTTTTTATAATCTGTAAAATACTGTGCAATTGTTAAGTAGCATTATTGCTTGGTTCAGTGAAGGCAAGATGGAAACTTTTAGCATGATTTGAACAATCTGTTGTCTCTTACACAGAGAAAATATTATGGGGAACTGAGAAAGGGAAACAATACAGAGGATGCAAGATAAATGGCTTCAATAATATTGTAACTCAAGTCAGGAAAATATCTTACACCTGGGAGCTTTGACAGCATGTTTTTCTCCTATGCAAATACAGTTAAGGTTTCTAAAATATCTTTGAGGATGACAGCATGATGTATTATTAGAAATTTGATTGGGAGGGAACTATCTTCATTCAGAGGTAGAAGGTTTCTGTGTATCAATCAGTTGGCAGGGTGTCTATTTGCCATTTGAAAATATTATGATCTGTTACTGCCAAACTAATTTTCTCTGTTTTGCCTTTCAGTATAGGATGGTAAAAGAAGCCCTTCATGAGCGTGCCAACCTACTAGAAATTGCTCCTCATTTGTCAGCTCCGTTGCCTATAATGCTTCCAGTCTATAAGTACGCCTTTTGATATCACCTGTATGCTATTTGCTTATTGGAAGTCAATGGAACAACAATTTTAATGGAAATAATTCCTCAATGTATATTTCTTAATGTGGTTTTAACTGGTTCTAATTTTTAATCCTTTTCAATTTAAGTGTGGCTTTTCTTAAACTACTCTCTACTGACTCACCTCTAAGGACCAGACCTTGAAGGCAAGGAAGTTGTATTCTGTATTTATAATTATTAGTTTCTTACTTCTGGCTGGGTATGGTGGCCCATGCCTGTAATCCTAAAGCTTTGAGAGGCTGAGGCGGTAGGATCACTTGAGCCCAGGAGTTGGAGACTAACTTGGGCAATATAACAAGACTCTTATCTCTACAAAATTTAAAAAAAAATATTAGAGGGTTGTGTGTAGAATATAAAATGCAGAGCCAAAAATATCCTGCTGCAAAATCTAAATGTACTATGTAACTAACGCGAAACCCAAACCATTTTGAGTGATGTTAGGTGTCTGAGTTATCCAAAACTGAAATTTACTTAGGAGGCATCAGATTATAAATGATAAAACCCAATTTTCCTAATGTTGTTAAAGCTACGCATGAACTTGCCTTAAATTGAAATACAAGTAATATGAAAAAGTGGATTACATAACTTTTTTAACCACATGAGTGAAACATTTTATAGTTTTGTCCCTCTTTTGTTATAGATTGCTTAGAATTTCTTAAACCAGTGATTCTTAATCATGGTTGCACATTTCAGTCATCCTGTCCTCCACTTGAGTCTAGTTAAATCAGTTCCTGGACATATAAGGCCTAGGCATCAGTGTTTATTTTTAACCTTCCCTGGAGAATTCTAATATGCAGCCAGATTGAGAACCACTTCCTTAGAGAGGATTCATTTAAACTCTTATTGATTTACTAACTTACAGACTTCAACTGGGTTGGTGTCAAAAACAGTTATGTAGGTCTGTCTCTTTTGCAGTTCACTTCTAGGTATGCATTGTTTTTCTTAAATGAAAAGTATCTTCTGATTTGAGATGACAGCCTATAATGTACTCTTTCTAAAGAACCTTTCCCCCTATTTATGCTGTAGGTGGTGGCAGTTACCCTACTACTGGGTCGGAATTAAATTATATGATCTGGTCGCGGGAAGTAATTGCCTGAAAAGCAGCTATGTCCTTAGCAAATCAAGAGCCCTTGAACATTTCCCAATGCTTCAGAAGGACAAACTGGTGGGAGCAATTGTCTACTATGATGGTATGTGATTTATTTTTTTTTACAAGACACTTTTCTCTTACTCATGGCTCTTTAGTATATTCTTAATGAGATAGTTTTGCTTCCTTACTTTGAATGCTGATCTTACACAACACACAAACGCGCATGCATACACATACACTCGCTGTTTTTTCTAATATTGGTTGAAAAACTTCCCTGAATGTTTTGCCTTTAATATTGTTTGTTTTACATATTCCATTTCTTCTTTGATTTCTACTTTGCGTCTCATGGTTGGTTTGGTACATTTCTCACCATTATGAGAAATGGTCTCTACCTTCATGCCATTTAATTTATGGGTTTGCTAGTGAATACTTGCCTTATGAATATATTATAATGTTGAAGGCAGCTGAGGATCTGTTAGGTTTTCTAGATGAAACCTCTATTTTCAAGGGGTTATAAACCTAGGGAAAAATGCCCTGTAGGCTGAAATTGACATGTTTGTATTTTGCACAGGACATAATTTTTGAACGTATAATTTATGTGATGAAGGTGGATGAGCATTGCATCTGTTAAACCAAGCCCTCAGTTGTTATTTCTTATTTCATTATTGTTAGACATTTTCTAACAGTGACATTACCTACTGTATGTTTACCATGTGTTCAATGTTCTTTCTCTCTCGTTTATTTTTGCATGTGTACAATATAATTTTGTACATTTTTATTTGAAGGACATAAATATATCTCCAGATAGACTACAAAACAGCAAAGCCATTTGTGAAATTTTACTAGTATTTTTAACGAGTGTAAGAGATTAAAATATAGTTCAAGGATGTTCATTTTTGGGGAAATTGCTTGATACAGATCATTGTACATGTTCAAAAAGTCTTAGAAATTTTACAATCCAAAGGACAGCTTAGGCTCTGTGTCTCAGTGAGCCCTCCCACTCTCCTCATTATATAGTCTTTTCTATTTAGTGTTAGATATCTAAACTCTTAGCAAGAATAATTGTTTTTTGTTGATGTTTTGTTTTGTTTTTCAGTAGACTTTGATATTTATACTTCATATTATGGGATGTCCTCAAGGCTATCCTTGTGGGTTTTTTCCCTTCTTTTCAGTGTTACATTTCTGAATCAATTCAGTGCTCTGTCAGGCTTTTATACATAAATGCAAAAAATATGTGTACAGTGGGGGTAAGAAGGACCAAACTCAAGAAAATGTCCTAGGAACAACAATATTAGAAAAATGTTAAGGGTCTTAGGCAAACATTAAAAGCTAGAAAATTCACACTTTGCAGTGCCTTACAGCCTCTGAACACCACAGGGGGGCCACTTAACTACGTTTTTGGTGCCCTTGATTGAACCTACATGTTAAAGGACAACCTTAACTGTGAATTTGCTTTCTCTGCATCAGACCCTTAATGTTAATCCATTGTAGTTTATTGGGTGATTATAGTAAAGAGGTTTTTTGGACCAGGGAGGAGTAAGAAGGCATTCTGCAAATAGCATCCAGCCTATGCTGACATGGAAATGTTCATGGCATTTGCCTCTTATTACTAATCCCTCCCACACAAACCCTCTCAGATACTCATTTTCTATACTATGCACTGTACTGGACCCTTACTAATTTTGTTTACTGGCTTGTGCATATCTGAATCTTCTTAACAGAAGTGTTAGTGAGTATCATATCTGAATTTGTGACATCCTATCTTATGCTGGTTTGGTATTGTTATGAATTGTAGATTCTTCTTGGTTCTACATGGAGAAACCAGGGGAAACCTAAGTTATGTGATGCGAAGAAATTTTTCTATTCGAATCAAGGGGAAAAGACCTCTTTAATTTAGAATTGATCTTCATAGCTTGTTATAGGTTATAAGATTACAAGTTTAACAGATTATTGATACAGTTTAAAATTATCATTTAAAATAATTTCAAATTGCTATTTGGGAATTGGTTGTAAAATCTCAAGTCTTGAACCAAAGGAGTAAAAATAATTGTATTTTACTCATTTGAAATAAGGTTTTTGGCCTTGTTCTGAAATGACACAGGTGCACCTATATTCTACTTGAGGAGAAGCATAACAAACATGTGAAACAGTGTAGTTCTCTATTTTCACAACTGTAGCATATATGGGGCAACTCTTGTTTTACCTAATATGGTGTGATGCTCAAATTGAACATTGACATGGAAAAAAAGTAGAGAGGAACAGGGAGGTAAAAGGATTAAATGCAGTAAATGCATGTTCCAAAGAAGGAAGGAATGCCTTACACCTTGACTGGAAGAATATTACAGTGTCAGCCTGCTATCAAAGTATTTCAGAGAGGAAAAGAGTACCCTTGTGAACATTTACCATTACAAACCCAGGTCTAAACTTGTAACTTATAAGATAAATTTTTCTTAACAAAAAAAAAATATACTCTTCTTCATAAGTAACTATTCTGAGACTATAATAAGTCACCCAAATGATTTAAAGATGAATTTGGGCTCCTTGAAATAATTTTTTTGATTTGCTTAAACAATGATAGATTGAGGTGAGAGAAACATAACATAAGATAACCATTTTAAGGTGAGCAAAAATAACAATTTTTATAACTTCACTTAGGGAGAATGAAGAAAAGGTTGCATAAGTAATCAAATGAACTTTTAATGCTACAAGTTTTCCTAGCTCAAAACTTTTGTTAATAATACATTAAACAGTTACATCAGCACCAGTGAAAAGTGAAATATAATAACGTAAAAATATAGTGGGACACACTAGTAAACATTGCTGTTAACTTGAACCAGGGGCTGAGAAGACCTTTTTAAAGTCTTTCAACACAGAGATGTTAGGTCTTTGAAAACAAAATATACAAAATTTAAATGTTTTCTTTAAATTTCTCATAAGCAGAGTTCATCCTTAGTAAATTCTGATGGCCATTGCATAGGCTGAGGGAAAAAATCTATTCCTTCACAAAAGTCCATAAAGGTTATAAAACAAATTCCATATACTTTCTGGTGGAGTAATTACAGTGGCTATTCTGTGCATGGCATTAAGTGTGATCCGTTGTCATATTTTATTGTTAACTGCTGAAAAGCACACATATATGGAGAAATAACTATTATCTTTTTAAATGCAGACAAAATAAATGTCAAATTTCTCAAAATTCACATGAAATGAAAGTTGGAATAGGAAGTAATATACCAGGTTTTTCCTCTAGTTAGAGAAAACATGCAGTCAACTCACTAGTTTTTGACAGAGATTTGTTTTAGTGTTTTCTAACTCACCCTTTGCCATCTCCTAGCAGAGACCTACTAGATGGACCCATGGCCATTCCGCTGATAAGGACATTATGAGACAGAGAGAGCAGTGACCAGGCCATCTCTCCTGAGTCAGAAGGAAGTGTTTAAGTAGTGATATGCTTGGATGACTTGGCAGGCTGTGAGATTATGCAAACCAGCTGCCAGGGGTGGCCAGTTTTCTTAGGAATTTATTTTTTCTTTCTCTGTCAACTTCAGTCTTCCAGTTCCCTTGGTGCTATTCTAGTTGGATTCTAGTCATCCAATCTAGTTCATCTCTAGAAAATGAGATAAAATTAAAAATCATTAAATATTTAAATCCACTAAATAACCCCTTTAAATTCTATAAGATAAAACTAGAGAACAAAAATTATGGCTAAATTTTCCTTTCTGTGAGTCAAGTCATTGAGAGAGATGTCTTATTTCATATTTGATGATCCCTCTAAGTATTCCTTATGCACATATGAAAATAGCAACCTACAAGAAATTACATTGGCTTTCCTAATGTAAATAAAAGTTGGTTATATCTGTGTTTCAAAGGGGGAATTAAAGCCCAGGTTTCACTGGAATATTCATTTTTATTCCAATCTAAAACTCACAGCACACAAATAGATGAATTCAGCTCGTGAGAGAGCAAAGGCAATTTAATCTCTGGCTCCCCTGAGGTAAATGTAGTTCACGGTCCTGCCCCCACCCCAACCTCAGCTATAATCCCTGGCTCCTGGAGGTAAAAATGCACTGAAGTGAGGAAAATTCTGCAGCAGGATATAATGATCCAAAATGACAGGGACAATAATGACAATGAATTTCATGTCTCCCAGTCATGAGCTGGAGATGCTTGACTAGGCTGACTTATACAATTAAATTGTTACAGGTGCAGCAGGAGATGCAGTTAGCTGTATGCTTTGGGGAACGATGCCCCTGGCTAAAGGCATATTGTGGAATCCAGACTCTTTTGTTAGAAACAAGCTATTACTCCTCTAGGCATGCACCCGCAATTGTACACTTTAATAAAAGAAAGCCTGGGTTAAAGACAAGTCTTTTAAGGTGTTGATTTTATCTACTATGAAAGCTAAAAAAAAAAAAAAAGAAAAGAAAAAAATCAATTACCCAATACCTCAAAGGTGATTTTTTTGGTCTTATGTTTTTTGTTTGTTTATTGAGTTCTTGGAACATAAATAAAATTTAAAGATGTTACCTTTAATCCTCATTTATGCTATTTGTGTACAGAGTTGTTAAACTATTAGCTACTTTAAATCAGACAGATACATTAATTTCTTCAGCCTAATAGAAATAGGTTGAATAGATAATTGAACAATGTAGATTTATAAACAAAATAGCAGTGCCATTATGCAAGTTTGGGCTACTTTAGTGCAATTCTTCTTGTAAATTGGAATGATAATCTCCAAAGTGGTGTGTGCGTAGGACCATCCACTGGGGTGTAAGAAGAACACATTAGAACTTCTACTTAGATGTATTGTTTTAAAAATCAAATTCCTTGTAATCTTTTTTTTGATAGATGACATCAATGTCTACAATATATAAGAACAGTAGTACATACATATGTGTACTTTGTATAAATAAATGTACATGTTAAAGATAGATGTTGACATTTACTTTACTTTTAGAATATTTAATTCAATTTTTCCTTTTGGGGCCATTGGGTTAGTAATTCATCATCATTTTATATCTTTGGTAATTGGAAAATTTAAATGTTTTCCAGATAGATATGTGTTTAGTGAGAGGAACCATTCCTCTGGAAGAATAAACA